TCTCCTCGATGTATGCGCGACAAGAAGACACATTGAAAATGAAGTTGACGGAGGTGGGACTCATAGTAGATTCATTTGATAGAGATGACAAGTCCATGATGTGGCAAGCACCATACAGACCTGAGATAGCATGTGCAGTGACATCTCAGTCACCATCTCCTTCTTCTTGATTGTAGCAGCCATCGCTCTCTGGCAAGGTAGCTTTGAGTCTAGTATGGTTGGTGGAGTTTTGAGAGCAACTGAAGTCGGCATTGCACTGGTCCGATAGTTCAAGGTCCGATCCAAGCGAGGACTTTGGGAGAAGGGAGGGAGCCTCGTCGACCGATCGCAGCTCCTAGCTAAGCAAGGAATTCCAAAATTACTGATGCAACCTCGGGCCCCCCCCCTGGTCTACCCTTCAACCCCCCCATGTCTTCTCATTCTTCGCCTTAGTGCATATGGCATTCCATCTTGCCCGGACGAGCGGTCACACGGCTCCCCGGCCCACCCCTCCCCCCCCCACCCCACGAAGATCATAGCACCGGAATTATTAGACGTGGAGGAGGAGAAGGAGGAGGAAAAGGTAGAGTTTTTGGTGGTGGTGGAGCAGCAGCAGAAGCAGGTGGTGCAGGTGTAGATGTACGATGAGCAGGAGAATGTGCGGACAGAACCTGCTGCTCAAAACAGGAGAGGCAGTGATTGACCGCCTGTTACTGAGTCAGATGTTGGTGAGCCTGACATCGCCATTCGTCACCATCAACTCCCTTGTAGCCTGATCCACTTGCTCCCCTCGCTTTCTTCCCCCCCGCTCCTGCTCCTGCTCCTCCTCTTCGAACCTGCTCCAAGTTGGTCAAGATTGCTCTACCAGCAGCATCGACGTACCTGCCCCATGCTCTCCGTACCAAGACTCTCTTCTTGCCGCCATCCTCCCTGCTGTGTACACCTGCCCCGCTCCCTCCTTCCTCCTCCTCCTCTGCCTCGGCTGTGGATCCTTCGGAAATGAGCAGCCCCCCCCACCCAAGAGGAGACGCGTCTGTGATGAGTATAGCTTCGATTTCAACCTCCTCATCCTGTTGGAGGAGGAGCTGGAGATTCGTCCATCCCATCCTCCATGCTCGTTGACAGCTAGAAAACTCCCTCCTGTCCTCTGGCGACTCCTTCCCCTGGCTTCCCTCCACCTCCACCTTTTGCCTGCACCTGATGGTGAAGGAAAATTCAGTCGCTCCTCTACCTCTCCTCGATCTCTGCTCTCTTTCTTTCTCCCCCCCTTCTCTTCCAACCTCCCTCCTTCTCGCTCTCTCCCCCTTTCTTGAACTTCTCCTTCCCTGCCTGCCTTGACCCCTCCCTCGTTCCTACCCTCCCTCTTTTCTCCATCTTTCTCAGTCTCTGTTTCTAACGTCTCCCTCCTTCTATCCTCTTTGTTGTTCTCTTCCTCCGCTTCTGCTCTCCTGCCGCTCTTCCCCCCTCCCACCCTTTGCGCACAGTCACAACCGGCACACAGCAAGTCGCCACCTGGCAAGAAACTCGCGCACTTGCTGATCTCCCGCATTTGCAGAGCTGGCAAGTAGGCAGCAGAGTACGACGAAGGTCTGAACAACATTGCTCCACTCAAACACAACAAGATCGTCACACGAGAGCTGATGTTGAGATGTTCGCGAGTTGATGATTTTGTTGCTGCATCGACGTACTCAAAGGAGTCCAAGTTAGCAAACAGGAGAGATCTCTTACATTATGGCAAGCGAGCTTGACAGCGGTGAAGTGTCCTTGTATGTGATGATACAAACTTCTTCCTCACAACGTGTATCAGGCGGATTATGAGACATCTCGGCAACAAGTAGCAGGAAAGCATGTCGGATGAGATTCAGAATGTTCAACAGACGATCTCTGTCTGTCATCCTCACCAGCTGCTTCTCATACTCTCTAATCACTGAGGCAAACCTCTCACCAACGTCCCTGCTTTGAGATTGCAGTATGCCAGCTCCCTTCTCCAAGACGCTCAGGGCCTTGAGAAAGGAAGAGCTTTCATCATGGCGGAGAAGCAAGCACAGCTGCAGAAGTTGCAATGAATGAGAAATGTGCTGCTATGAAGCAAAGAAACTGCACAGACCTTGACAAACGATGAAACCTTCAACTTCAGCTGGTCGTTCTCCTCTGCCATCTCCTCCAACTCTCTCCATCCCATCACTCCTTTCTTGACGCACAACCCGCATATCTCCATGACAAGAATCAACAACGTGCAAAGACAAGAGCACACAATCAGTTCAAAGTGTCTCGTCAACAACTTCCATCTCAGTTTTCTTTACCTGTGTGAAAATGTACTTGGTCGCTTCATCTACCGTCTCTTCTCCATTCATCAATGATTTTGCTTCCTGGTACATGCCCAATCCTGAGTTTCTTCGCCTTTACATTTCAGTTTTCAACAGAAGCAAACTAGCACCATGCTGCTTGTTGTCAAGCAGCTTCTTCAACTTCCTGTGTTGGTGTCACCTCATCAAAAAATCTCTATCCCAAGGACCTCCGAAGTTGATGAGAATGTGCAAGACATACAACGATGCTGGCTTGCCTCTTGTCTTGTCTCCACGTACTCGACGACTTCTTCGATCCAACACAAGGCGCTCCATGGCTGCTACCCACAACATTCACAACACATGGTCACATGATCGGTGGCAGTCGGACACAATCATTCACATTCTCCATGTCAAACATACACCATCGACGCATTCTCTGTCTCAAACAAACAAGTCTCACCGCGGAAGGAACGCACTGTCCACTGATGAGAACGGGGTCACTCCTTGCACAAGGACGAAGAGAATCAGCAGTTTGAACACGTGCGCCATGGCGCTGATATCATCAGGGCACAAGGCAGAACGAAGGAGAAGGCAGCTGTGGGAAAATATATCAGTGCGTGCAGCATAAGACTAAAAGGGTAAAGACAGCTCTCTTTGAAGAGGTACATAAAGCAAAGGATTGCTTCTGACAGGATCAAACACAAGTTGACGAATAATACAAGAGGTATGAAAGGCACGCAAATCAAAGCCAAACAAAAGATGAAAGCAAGAGCAAGAAATTCTTCACAGAAGCAGGAACAGGAGAAGGAGCAGGGCCAGGACCAGGAACCAGGACCAGGACCAGGACCAGGACCAGGACCAGGACCAGGACCAGGACCAGGACCAGGACCAGGACCAGGACCAGTACCAGGACCAGGACCAGGAGCGGGTCAAGAGGACCAGAAGGATCAGGGCATTGAGCTGAGCGAAGGGACTCAACTCACGTTCACTTTCACTCAATCTTCAGTTCACACCGTGATTCACTAGTACGGTACTGAGTCAGTCAGGCTCGCCGGGACTCCGACGGCGGAGGCCCGGCCCCCGGGCCCCGCCGGGATCATCGCCGGGGCCCAATGATTCTGGCACTGTGACCAGCCCGGCGGTATGGAGTGAAATGATCCAAGTTTTCTCTTCTCCGGCCGTTTGGCATGTGCGACAGCTGGCTGTCCGACCGTCGCACAGCCAGCTGTCGAAACTCGACAGCCAGCTGTCGAAACTCAGCAAGCTGAGCCGTCGCCGACTCGCCCGGCGGGCCGCGCGAAGTTTTGGCTGTCTCGTTCTCGTGTTCGAAACTGCCTTCTCTGCCCCTAGTGCTTGTCTCAGCGGCGGCCTATATGAGGATCGGCCTTTTCAGTTAAGAGGGTCTGTTCTCCTCATGTTGTAGCTAGTAAACTCGTAGTCTCAACTACGTTGATCAGCCAGTTGAGCCAGTCAAAGTTTGACGTACTACCTGATGGCATTCCAGTCGCGTCAAAAGTTACACCTCTGTCTCTGTAATATGCTTTCAAGGCATTCTTGTACGACTGCAGTGCTCCTAACCACAGCGTTCGTTTGCTCGCCTGGTATCCTCAAATGCCATGGTTCTCAGGCTCATGTAGATTGCCCTTATGCGGATCATCTTCCTGCTCTTCCTGCTCTCCCTGCTCTTCCTGCTGACTTTCTTGACTTTCATGATCTTCTTTCACACCCTGAAGCTTTACGTCCCGACATAAGGACGTGGAGAGAGGTAGATATCGCCTACAGATCCTTTTGAGCAGCCACTCCAGCAAACTCAACTGAGAGACTGGACCCCATTCCTCTAACCATCCGTGACCGTCAGTGGAGCTCCTTGAGGCAACTGCTGAGCGCTGAGCTTGGGGTTGCCGTGGCAGATGAAGCGATCTCTGTGCGTGACAAGATCCTGGATCAGAGCGAGGTAGGGAAACTCCTACGACGAGCCACTGCCTCCTCGGCCCCTGGTCAGTTTGGTTGGCAACATTTCAAGCACAAGGGACGTTTTCGAAGATTGGATGATGATCACAAGAAGAGACGCGTTGTCCTATCTTGAAGCCGATCGCGCTGGCCCTCATGCCTTCGGGAAGTTCTGGAGGAAGTTGCCCGGCCGCTGCCGGTTGCCGGAATGATGTGCCAGCATGCATCGCTGACGCTCGAAATCGCTGGCTCGAATGCTGCGGAGCGACTCCAGGAGACTCCAAGAGGCATGCAGCCGAGAGCACGCGGTGATCTAGGACGAACAGCACACTTCCAGGCGTCTAGATTAGGTTGGGCGAGGGGATTCAATTTCAATCAAGATGGGGACAGGTCTGAAAACAAACTTATGTTTATACACTCAGGTAGGAAACTAGAACACGGGAAAGGGTGGGCGATCAGTCTACATGTACTCCTTCACGGTAGGAGAACGGGCTCGAGGGCCGTCTTGGGTCTTCCCTAGATCCTTCTTCACTGGCACGGGGCCAGAGGGGGGTGCAGCAGGAGGAACTTCCTTCTTGACCCTGAACGAACCGCCTCGCATTCTTGCCCCAGCATCGTTGAGCGCTGCCACCCAGTTGTCTCTCCTGCTCTCACTCTTGCAGAAGAAGTGGATACTCGAGTCGCAAGAATCCCTCGACGTGCCCTCCTCAGTGCTGAGGATGAACATTGTCGCGTGCTTCTCACTTGTCTTGATAACTGTGTCCCTCAATCTGAACATGCCAATTTCCCGCGTGAAGTCGTTCCCAGCAAAGATAGACATGATGCCCTTCTCGTTCACAACGCACAGGACCTGCATACCCGACGTCGAGCTGGGACTCTCCCGGAGCTCTAGATGCCCTCGGATCTCATGCTGCCTAGTAGCGTCATGGTCTGCGGTGTGGAGGTTGGGAAGTGATCTAAAGGGTGCGCTGTCCTGTGCCCGAAGTGCCGCCTTTCGCTCCTGTATCTTCATGTCGACATTATTCCTTGGCGAAGTAGCAGGGGATAGTTTCGAGCTTCCAATCTCAGCTATTCTCTTGCTGTTACTCGGGTACGCAGCCTGGTGGCTTTCACCTCCTGCGATTTCAGGAAGGCACGAACGTTCGTCCTCAATAGCAAGCCTTGAGGGCCTGTCCGGGACAGCCTTCAGGAAAGGACGGTACCTCCGAGGAGAGGTATTGGGGGACTTGTATCCAAGGAACGTGTTTGAATCATAATCCTCATGTCCATGAGGGCAGGGTCTTCGTTCGAGGTAGACATTTGGCCTAGTTTGGTCTGTGGCATGAAGCAGATGCCGAGAGAACAATGCTGGAGCAATACGCAGGAGGGAAAAGAGTATCACAAAGAACTGAGAGCTTGAAGATACGAGGAATAGACAACCAGTGAAGGGGGGGAGAAGATAAAGGAAGGGGAGGGGTAAGGGAGGGGGTGGGGACTGAAACGCCGAAGGCTTTTCGAGATTCAGTCACGTGATGGAGAAAGATGGAGAATCGAGCAACAAGCAAGAGAAGGAGGAGGGGTAAGAAGGACGAGATATAAGGAAGATGGAGGTAGGAGCGGAAGGGAGGAGGAAGCGAGAGGAGGAGGAGGAGGAGGAGAGGAATGCGCTACTGCGTTGGAGGACGAGGAGTGTGCGAGGGAATTCAGGATCGGGTCTTGCGTAAAGACCTACGTAATACCTTAGTAGGTGGGGTGGTGAAAAGATGGGGGTAGGGGTGAATCGGAGTTCACAGAATTTGGGACATGGGTAGGGTAGTTGGAAATATTCTGAGGGTGGGTCCACGGACCCTACCGGTAGAGATACTATTAAGGGATGACCATGGAGCTTGCCTTCACTGTTAGGATGGGTGGGTGGTACCTTTTTGGAAAGAGGAGAATACCATATATACTGCCCTTGGCCAAATTCATTACATCTTCACTTATAGAATTTTCACCCTTTGTGTATATGGGAGCACATAGTCTCATCAAGGGCTGATGAAGTACGAGGGTACAAGGGGTAGGGTTATGATACCTCCAATGTGCGGTTGGGCACCCCCTCTGTGACGGAACGGGGGTGGGGTGAGGGTCATCACCATACTTATGACTGGAACTGAGGGGGTAGGGATCACTGGAGGAGTGGGGTGGTGATGGAATATGGGCTAGAGGTTGGTAGGTTTTGAGGGGGTAGGGGTATTTCAAATGTCTCACGAGGTGGGGTAGGGGTGGGTATCGTGATAATGTTTACCTGGGGAGAGGGTCAAGAGGCTACAAGGGACAGTCGCTTCCTTTGAGGGGGTACCAAATGAAAGGTATGAAGATTAGTGGGTAGGGGTTACCGTTATCACCCTAGAGATTCTCTTGAACTTTCTTTAAAAGTACCGGGTCATTTTAAACTATGAGGGGTACTTGATACCTTCATGTTTACAACGGGGGTAGGGGAGGTCCTTTCGGGCTCATCACTTGGTTTTACGATACGATAACTGAGGGAGTAAAAATCCGTTTTTGACTGGGTTGGGGTAGTAAACTACCCACTGTTTGACTCAATATATGACTGCTTAGTACGGGTACTGGATATCATTGGCTGGGGTCCTCGCGGTGGGTCACGGAGCACTTGGTTTCAATTAGGTCCGTGACTTTCAGTACTAGGCCAACCCGCCTCATGATTCTGGTCTCGGCTACCACCCCACCCCTCTTTTTCCCATAAAATATACCCCATAGATAGACTTTCTCGAGATATTCGAGGATTTCCAGTCAAACTCCCCGATGTTCCCCCAACCGGCGCGATAGTACTTCTGAATGTATGGGGGTGGTTTAGCTTAGAGTACCATGGGTAGGGTGGGTTACACTTTGACCTCCATCATACATGTCCAACTAGAACAACTTACAAGCAATCTAATGATTAATTTTGCAGTAGGTATCTACTGTACCCTCGTGCAAACATGATCAAACCATGATGAGGGGTACTTTTGACCTGGTCTTCAGGACAGGGGGGTGGAATGAATGGGAGGGTGGTGCGATGCTGCTGACTCGGAGAAGGAGAGCGGCCATGGTCATCAATTAATAAAATACTTTTATAAGCTAAAAGGGTTATTGAGGGCAGAGGAGTTAAGTGAGGTCAAGAGGTTAGGACCAAACCTGCAGACTCAAGTTCTGAAAAGTGCATTCATAATTTGAAATATACGAAAGATTATTTCAATTGATTTCAACGTGGTAAAGGAGTCGTTGGAAGCACATGATCACGAAAGATACCGGCAGAGGCAGGAACCATTTATGAAATAGAGTCTTTTCGAGTTTTACAACATTCCCCTGTGACTTCTTCATGGCCATGAGATCGAAGCAAGGCTCAACTCCTCAACTCCGGCCCGGTAATGGTGAATGAATGGCTCGTACCGATCTTTTTAACTTAACTTTGACTAAAGATTTGTTTGCGTTTACTCAAAGTTAAGTTAAAAAATGACAGTCACTGCCTTCCAGGTCGTACTGATTTTTAACTTAACTTTGAGTAAATGCCAGGCTGATTGAGTAGAAGCCACTGAACTTCCGCAGACGGTTTGAGTCACTGAGAAGCCTACCGGGCCTGAGTGGCTACTAGCCGCCATCATGAGAGTACGACCGGAGGCCGCCCGGCCCGGGCGCGGCCGGCCGTCTCCGGCCCGGGGCGACTCCCGAGTCCGGCCGCGGGGAAGCCTACGTAGTCTCGGCCCCTGATCCGATCGATTGTCCGATAG